AGAAAGCTGTTAATGTTTGTTGCATCTGGTCAGATGCACACCTACAATAGTAACTACGTAGCAGTAGCTTATACCAAACTTGTATTTCAAAATTAAAGAAAGTAAACTTAGTAAGGGTTTCTTGGACAACTAAATAAATTGCACAGGTGTCCCTTTCATAATGTATGTAATATATTCCAGATGTTGAGAGATTACAGAAGAAGAGGACTGCATCACTTGCAGATAAGTTTATTGTGCTTCTCCAAAGCTCTGCAGGGTGGATATGCAGAGTTTATGCACAACTTGCTGTAACATTCCATTTCAGTTTATGAAGTCCATGCTTACAGTAAATTCCCTAGTTAAAGCTAAAACATGAGCATGGATATAAGGTTGTACATTGACACAATTATGTTGATAGAAATACTAAACATTTCCCATTTGAGTTTTCAACACTGATCCGTATGTGCATTCTAATACTTTACAGTTTAAAGCCACTATTGATCTCAATAGTTGAGACAAAACTTACACTAGAATATTCATACTCTGAGTTTCCTTAATTCACATAGAATATGTGACCCTGTTTAAACTCTGTGCCTTCTCCTTTAGCAATCCAGAAGACTAACAGAAGATGTAACCAAAAGTGGAACTGAGAGCTCTCCCGCAGTGAAAGGCTTATCTTTCAGCCCTAATGTAAGTACATATTTCTAAGATAGGAAATATTGATTTCCAGCTTATTCTTTCACATATGTAGTACATTCTATCTAACCTTAGAAGTCAGTTGGGTTCAACTTACTACCCTCTTTAATAGCCCTCCATGTATAATATAGTTGGGTAATTCAAGAGAAATGTGGAGTGTAGGGATATAATTACTGAGGCCTGGCCTACACTAGGGAGGGGGATCGACCTAAGATACTTGGACTTCAGCTATGCTATTCTCATAGCTGAAGTTGCATGTCTTAAGTTGACTTACCTCGCGTCCTCATGGCGCGCGGTCGACTGCCACTGCTCCTGCCTCTCGCCGCAGTGGAGTACAGGAGTCGATGGTAGAGTGATCGGGGATTGATTTATCGCGTATACACTAGATGTGATAAATCAATCCCTAATAGATCGATCACTACCTGCCACTCTGGCGGGTAGGGAGACTGAGATTAGGCTCTCCGGAGGCAAAAGCATTTAGAAGTAAGCCATAGATTTGTAAGCTGTAGTGTTGTGGACCTTTCAACTTGTACAACTGGTCACTCAAGTTAACCAGAAGTTAGGGAAAAGCAAATTTGGCTTCGTTAAATCTGGATTATATAGCAAGCATCATTCTCATCTTCATAAATACAAAGTTGTGCTATGGCAATTTAAAATTACAAATGCAAGCTTCAGTGAAGCTTTAATTTTCATTTCTTTACCTGTGTGTATTGATTTCAGTATTCCTGGATTCATTCTAAAAAAAAACTGGCTTTCATAAACTACAAATAGTCGTCTAAAGCTGTAGGTAACAATTGTGGACGCTTTTCACCTTACTTTTTTCTTTTCTTAAAAAAATATTC